GCTTCAGAATGTCAATGCCCTCACTGGACATGGAGGTCAGGAGGATCTGAGTTCAAATCTGAACTCAAACACTTACCAGCTTTGTGATCCTGGACAAGTCACTTAACCTCTATCTGCCTTTTCTTATCTTCAAAATAGGTATAACAATAGTACCTACCTCCAAGACTATTGTGAAGATCAAATGAAATGATATGTATAAAGCACTTTGCAAATTTTATATAAATTATTGTTATTATTGTTGTTATTATTATTAACTGCTGTTGCTGGTAACCATTCGGAAAGGAAAGGAAAGGACTCACATAACCACTTACTCCTTTTAACTTTCATTCCTATCAAGAAAATGTTATAGGAGAGAGAGCAAAGGCTTTTCCCACCATGTAAGGACTAAAAGCAAAAGAAAGGGGGCAAATTCCCAGGCTCTCTGAGTCAGATGGAACTTTCTAGGGCTCTGGCTTCAATCTTGGCTCTTCCCTCTGACCTGAAAAGATCTCACTTTCACAATTTGAAATGTAAAGGTGCTTGGTGGCTGGAAGCTTCCTTCACCATCAGTAGAGTTCAGACTCATACATCTGCCTTCAGAACCATGATGCCCAGATGACGTACTGAGCTAATACATCTTGGAAGCTCAAAGGCATTCATGGTTCATCAATATAACCTAAGACTGCAGCCTCAGTGCTGATGTATTACTCAAAACTGCAAGTGTTAACCCCTAGCTTGGTACCTGTCCAGGCTCTCTCCCAGTTTCATTTCAGTACCATTCCAGAAACAGCTCTTAGGCATCCATTTGGTGTAAGGACTTGTTTTCAGTCTTTAGGATACAAAAGCAGAAATGAAATGATGTCTACCCTTAGGGAGCTTACATTCTATGGAAGGGATATTAGATGTCACAGAAGAAAAAAATGTTGGCTTTGGACCCAGGAAGATCTCCATTCAAAGCCTACCTTGGCCCAATATTAGCTGTGTGACCCTGGCAAGTCACAACTTTCCTCAGTTTGTTTTCTTCATCTATAAAATATATATATATAATATATATATATATATATATATATATATATATAAAATATAAAATGGGGATAATACTAATACTTACCTAAATCATAGGGTTGTTGTGAAGATCAAATGAGGTAATATACAAAAAATGCTTTGCCAACCTGAAAATGCTATATAAATGCTAGCTATTATAATGCAACATGAACATAAGCAAATGAATAAATGAATGAAGTAAGCCTTTAAGTTCTTACTTATCAAATGAGATAATATTTGTAAAAAGCACTTAGCACAGTGCCTGGCACATAGTAAGCTCTATAGAAATGCTCCACCTTCCTCTTCTCAATTCTATGTGAATAGACGCAAATAGAAAAGCAAGACATATGCTGCTGGCAAAAAGTACCCATTCTAACAGGGGAGACAATGCATATGAAGGGTTTCACTTTTGAAGAGAAAGCCAGTATATTCAAAGTTATTTCAAGAGAACACTAACACTAATAAATTGTGGTGGTGGTGGTGATGATTGGAAAAAAAAAAAGGCTTCATAGAGCAAGTCACTCCCGAGCTAGGCTTTGAAGGAAGCTAGGGATTCTAAGAGATAGCCATGAAGAGAGAGTCTAGTCCTGACATGGGACCACCTGGGCAAAAGGCACCAAGGTAGGAGTGACTATTGTGCTCACTAGGGCACAGCTAGCAGGCGAGTTTCAATGGAATAGTTTCACTCAACCTCTGTTGGGTGTTGAGTTTGCCTTTTAGCTTTCCAACTGGAGGAGACCATCCTATACACATATGGAAAGCTCTCCATTTCATCAAAGGCAGCCCCATACCATCCTTCTCTACGTTGCTGATATTCTGAATGACCAAAGTCAATGACAAACAGGGTCAGCGCCCATCATAGACATCTGTGCTTTTTGACAGATGGCTAATTTTATTCCTGCATTAGCTATACTGAGGCATTCTCCCCAAAAGCAGCAACATTTCCAGTTGCTCTTATGTGGGAATAAAGCTGGTAGGGATTTCATGTTGACCTAAATTTGAGATCAGAATGATATTGGCCACCCCACAATGAGTCAGAGAGTTCCAGGTGGACCAGAAAGTACAAGATTACAGATTTGGAACGCTACAAAGTAGTTTGTTCTCAGCACCATTTGCTCTAAGCCTGGGCTTGGGGCTAGCTTTTAATAAAATCACTAATTTTCTTTTTAAAATTTTTTATGATCTGAATTATTTTTTGCCAAGCTCTGCACTAGCTGTCCTGGTGTGGTGGAGTGTGGTGTAGTGGAAAAATGGTATTGCAATTGGTTGATTGTTGTCCATGCTCAAAGAGGACCAGAATGACATCACTATGGTGGGGTCAGGGTACAGTTTGTCTGACTATGGCTGATCAGACCAATATGACATCAAAAGGTTCTACCATAGGTCAAACACAAATAGTCCATGTGAACGTTTGGAGTGGAGCTGGCGCTAAATTTGTGCCTCTCACCTTTATTTTGAGCTATTGCGATTCTCCTTTGCTCATAGAGCACAATGCCTACTAGAGGGAGTCAGGAAACCTGGATTCTGCCACTACCCCTCCCTCCAATAATAGACTCACAGTATCATTTGAGGCAAGGGATGAATTGAAGGGATTTTACTTGATTACTTCTAAGATCTTCTCTGACCCGATCATTGAATTAAATAATTAAATTAAATCAATTCAATTCAGTAAACATTCATGAAGTTTCGACTCTTTATAGAATAGAGAGCTAGGTGCTGAAGGGAAATACCAGAGTTAAGTCTGACAGGGTTCCTGCTTGCAGGGGGCTTATCCCCTTTTCTCCTCCTCATTGTTGGCATTTATCAAGCACTTAACAAGTATTATTGTGTCATTTAAGCCTCACTACATCCCTGGGATGAAAGTGTTATTGTTATCCCCATTTTACTGATGAGAAAACTGAAGGGGACCGAGGTTAAGTGGCTTGCCCAAAGGTATGCAGCTAGCTGAATGTCTGAGGAAGGATTTGAACCCAGGTTTTATTGATTCCAAGTATAACAGCCTACCCACTATACCACCTAGTTGGTTCTGAGTCACATCATGTAGTTACTGTGCCTCAATTTCTTCATCTGCAAAATAACAATCAGATTTAGAGCTGGTGTGACCCTTAGAGATCATCTGGTCTAACCTTTCTCATTTTACAGATGAGGAAACTGAGGCTTGGAGGGAGTAAATTACTTGCCAGTAGGTGCATAGCTAGTAGGTATCAGAGGAAGAATTTGAACCAGGTGCTCTCGCTATAAAATTAGGGTTCTCTCCACTACATTATACTGTTCTTTAGGACTTATGATACCTAGCAGACCTTCCTTCCCCCTTGGACTGTACAAGGGAGGACCAAAAGGCATGATGTGTGAGAGGAATGCTTCTGAAAGTATAAAGTGCCACACAGATGTCAAGGATTAACAGTACTACTCAAACTCTTGGTGCCAGCTGTTGCCTGGGGGTTTTCCATGGGAGGGGTAGATCTATGGTGACCTGTTCCAAACATCAATAACAACAGTGATACTGAAGATAATGATGATGATGATGATGATGATGATGATGATGATGATGGTGGTGGTGGTGGTGGTGGTGGTGGACTTAAAAGGTTGGCAAAGCACTTTACATGTATTATCTCTTTGATTTGATGAAAATTATCCTATGAGAGTAGGGGCTATTATTATACCTACATTAGATGAGGAAACTGAGTAAAGTCAAGTGACTTACCTAGAGTCAGAGAACTGGTAAGTGTCTGAGACAGGATTTCAACTCAGATCTTCCTGAATCCAGGTCCCACATTTTATCCACGGTATCACTTAACTTCCTCAATCAAGGCTTGAATTAACTTCTACTTTTCCTCTTCCCGGCGTGATTTCCTGAGGGGAATGCTATTCATTGGTAATTGCTGACTTTGTTTTCTTCACTGGATTTCTCCCACAATTCCTATGAGCTTTGTAACTTAGCCTGAACTATCCAGCAGCAGTGGAAGCTGGGTTTGCTGACCAAAAAAAAAAAAAAAAAGCATCTTAGGGCCTTTCCTCCAATGGAGCTGTTATCTGCTCCATTCGGCTTGGCACTGTTTCCCTCACCCCACCCCCCATTTTAATAGCACATCATTTTCCCCTTGTTGTGCAGTGAAGACACATAGAAACTCAGTGTTGAATTCTGTGGGCTGCTTCAGTGAGGATTCTGAGCCCTCGAGGGCTAATCGGAAAGGGGTGGTGGGAGAGACAGTGAAAGGGCGTTTGAGTCTTTCTCCCCAGCTCTATGTTGGGCCCTTTCATTACCACGTTTCTCCGATTCGTCATACATGCTAGAACAAGGCTCAAGGGCAGGAATGAGGTTTAACTTCCACCCAGATACAATAGATTATGTACCAGGAGTCAAACTTTCAAATGGCATTTCAGGCGTGAAAAAATATACTCGGTTAGCTGTGCTGGCTGCCTTGATTCACGCTCTCGGCGTAACAGCATTGCTGCATCTGTGACCCGAGGGTGCTTTGACAGGCTGAAGAAAGCAGGCGGAGCTCAAGGAATCTTCCTGTGGTACTCCTTGGTACCTTGTCCACATTTCCACCCCCTACACTTGCTAATTCTCTTCTTCTGCAATTCTTCTTCACCAGTTCTCATTTCCTGTCACTTTCAGACTTGTGGACATCATCTTTTTTTTTTTCCCCTTAAAGATGTGCTGTCATCTCCACGCTCTGCCTAAGTATTACTCTGAATGACAACTGGAAATAACTCCACCGAGCCCACCTCACCTTCCTGGCGTTCACTCCCAATCTCACGTATGGCACCACCAACCCGTTCTTGCTTATTTCTGCTCTCTCTTCTCAGCAGATTTCAGATCCACTTAGAGCAGGTGAATGTTTTCTTCCCCTGAAAAATAATGCAGTGGGAACCAATATGGAATAATTGGACTTCATGAAACATCATTGTCAAATTTAAAAATATAAAAAGAGATAATCACATCCTTCTTTTTTCCCTTTTTATGTTTTCAGCATGTTCACGTCCATATACTTCCCAGGAAGGCTGAAGATTTCAGCAACAATGACAGCATCTATGATGAGGTAGGTCTGTGCCCATGTTCATTTTGCTTCATCCCAAGGGTGGTCATAGTAGATACCAACTCAGTGAGACAGGTGTCATCCTTAAGCACTAGGCGGAATGACTAGAAGAAGCTCCTACCTAGTAGAATTTTTGACGTTGAGGATCTATGGAATATCAGACCATTTGAGGCAAGAAAAAACAATCGTGCTGGTAGCCTTCTTTTGGGAACTTATTAGTGGCAGCTACAGAAGGCAATGAAATTCAGGGAGAATTTAGCCCTGCCATTATACTAAATATATCAGGTTATTGACAATCAGATAGTAACCTAGTCAGTATTCCCATTGTTAATGGGGAATAAATCTGGGAAGGTAGCCTGGGGCTACATTATACAAGAGTTTGAGTAGTGGTATGAGTATTTTTTTTATCATGGAAGCAATAGGGAGCCAATAAAGCTTTCTGAGCAGGGGAGTGAAGTGGTCAGATTGATGTTTTAGGAAGAACACTTTGGAAGCTTTGTGGTAGATGAATTGGAAAGGGAAGAGAATGAAAGTAGGGAGGACAATTAAGAGAATATTACAGTAGTTGCATGAAGAGTTCAAACAAAGATTTTTAGTCAAATATTATTTTTTAAAAATCCTTCTTTGGAATTCAGTCGTGTTATGTTACAATCCTCCAAGGAGCCTTTTTCCAGGACTTTCTTTGTGATGCCCACGGTGTTTGGGTACAAGGGGAGACAAAGGTGGGATTCCTGGCGTGGATGTGTTCAGATTGCCAGTGGATGTCCCGTAATGGAAACAAAGTCTGTTTGACTGGTGAAAGGGAAGCTGATGTGCTGCACGCTTTTAACATGTCTAAACATATGACTTAAAAAAAATGAATCCAATGATAATGATGGAAGTAACCTTGTTTGCTTGTATCAAAATTGTATAAGTCAATCCTTTCTTAGGGCTTACGCTCATGGTAAGTGTGATGTCTCTGTGTCATAGGTTCTGTTGAGTACTGGATTATGAGGCAGGTGTGGAAACATAAACTATAATTATGTCAGTCCTTATATTTTATTCTAACATTACAAAGGTAATAGAAAGTCCCTGTCATGGAACTTAATGGCAAGAATCAGAAGTCAGGAAGATCTGAGTTCAGATTCAACTTCAAATATTTCCTAACTGTGTGACCCTGGCCAATTCATTTAACCTCTCTGCCTCGGTTCCCTTATCTATAAAATGAGAATAATAATAACACCTATCTCCCAGGGTTGTTGTGAGGATCATATAAATTATATAAATGTTAAATGCTTTGCAAACTGTAAAGCACATTATAAATGCTAGCTATTATTAGCTATTACAATAATTATTGTTTAATTGTTTCAGTCCCGTCCAACTCTTCATGGTCCCATTTGAGCTTTTCTTGGCAAAAATACTGAAGTAGTTTGGCATTTCCTTCTCCAGCTCATTTTACAGATGAGGAAACTGAGGCAAACAGGGATTAAGTGACTTACTCAGGGTCATGCACCTGATAAGTGTCTGAGACCTGATTCAAACTAAGGGAGATGAGTCTTCCTGACTCTAGGCCCAGCACTGCATCACTTAGCTGCCAATAATAATTATTTTTAAATCAAAATCTATTTTTCATTAATGATGTAGACCCTACATATGCCCCTTTTTGCATTTTTAATTTAGTCTATATGACAATCGATGCTTCAAATACTTGGGCCCAGAAAATAGGGGTTGTCTATTGATTACTATACAAATTACTATACATTATTTATCATGTAATTATGAGACATAGTTATTTATGTTGTGGCCCTTTGGACTGTTTGGAGTGATGAGTCATTATTAAGGATGTGGAACCCAGATAAACCAGGGTATTGAGTTACCATCCCTCCCTAAACTGGAATAGGAGAGAAGGAATAGTGATGGGTTTGGGAGGCAAAGATAGAAAATTGTTCAAGATTAAAGTTCAGTGATTGCTAACTAGCTAGTGAAACCTAGAATGAGGAGATATTGTCAGTGCTAGGGGGTATGGGATGGCAGTGGAGACGTATGGATATCCAAAGACTAGAAGAGGCAGGTGGGTTCAAAGTTAAGGCAGGAGCTCATGAGCCAGGTATTAAAACAGGATTGAGTTCTTACAGAAAGAAGGCTTTGACTTCCTGTGCCAAGATGGCAGAAGGAACCCTCTGAAGCCCTCTCAAATTCCCTTCCAACAGCTAGAAAACTGCCTTGGAATTGATATAGGAGCAGGGAAGCAGCTTACCAGCCCCACAGGAAAGTTCTGTCTCTCTGGTGTGGGAAGGAAACAATGTCCAACAGCAGCAGCAGCAGCAGCAGCTGGCCTCATAGCAGGGGCCTGGGGCAATCCACCATTGAGGCCCCATCCTTCTGCAAGCCAGTAGCCCCCTAGGCAAGTGAAAGGTCTATGCAACACAGCAAGGCTCCACCCCAGTGACCCTACCCCAGCACGAGCCACCAGTGAGGACATGACTCCTCCGCTGACCAGTCCAGGGCTGGCCAACAGCAAGCCCCTGGGACCTACCAGCAGAGAGACCCTGTTTCCATAGCAACTCAGCAGCAGGGCCCCACCCCTGGGGCAAACCCAGCAACAACATCCCTCCTCCAGGGCCAGCCACCAGAAAACTCTGTTACTATAGCAACCCAGAGGCAAGACCCCACCCCTGGAAACCTACACCCAGGTGAGGCCAACAGGGAGGCCCCAAGCCCCAGAACAAGCCAGAAGGGAAACCTACCTCCAGAGAAAGTAAGCAGCTAAGGTCTGAAGCTCAGTGAAAGCCAGCAGTAAGACCCAGAGCCCCAGTACAAAAACTTGGAAGAGTGAAAGAACACAGCTCAACTCTTACACAAAATCACCAAGTCACGAAAAAGGGGGGACAGGAAAAATGAGCAAGAAACAACAACAAAAAAAGATTTTGACTATAGAAAGTTCCTGTGGTGATAGGGAGGATCAAGGAATGAACTTAAAAGAGGATAATAATGTCAAAATGCCTACATGCAAAGCCTCAAAGAAAAATGTATTTTGGTCTCAGGCCCAAAAAGAATTCCTTGAAGAGCTTAAAAAGGATTAAAAAAAAATTAGAGAAGTAAAAGAAAAATTGGGAAAAGAAACAAAAATAATGGAAGAAAATCATGAAAAAGGGAGTCAAGAGCATGGGAAAAGATGTACAAAAACTTACCAAGGGAAAAACTCCCTAAAGAATAGAACTGGTTGGAAAATAATTCCTTAAAAATTAGAATTGAACAAATGAAAACTAATGATTCTATGAAGCATCAAGATGTGATAAAAACAAAAGTTAAAAAAAGAAAAAGAAAATGTGAAATTTCTCATTGTCAAAACAATCGACCTATAAAATAGATCCAGAAGAGATAATAAAAGAATTATTGGACTACCCAAAAGCTATGATAAAAAAAAAAAAAGCCTGGACAGCATATTTCAAGACATTATCTAAGAAAACTGCCCTGGTGTATCAGAACCAGAGAGTAAAATAGAAATTGAAAGAGTCCACTTGGAAGAGATCCCAAAATGAAAACTCCCAGGAACATCATAGCCCGATTTTAGAGCTCACAGATCAAGGAGAAAGTATTGCAAGCAGTCAAAAAGAAACAATTCAAATATCATGGAGATACAGGATTTGGCAGCTTACACATTAAGGAACTGGAAGGCTTGGAATATGATATAATAGAAGACAAAGGAGTTAAGATTACAACCAAGAATGACCTATCCAGCAAAATTGACTGTAACTTCCAGGGGGAAAATGGACATTTAATCAATGAGATGACTTTCAAGCATTTCTAATTAATAGACCAGAGCTGAACAAAAAAAAAAAATCACCTCCAAATATAAGACTCAAGGGACACATAAAAAGGTAAAAGAAGAAGCAAGAAAGAGAAAACATAAGAAATTCAATAAAGTTAAACTGTCTGTATTTCTATATGGCAAGATAATATTTGTAACTCTAAAGAACTTTATTACTATGAGCAATTAGAAGGAGTATATGTAGACAGAAGGTATGGTTATAAGGTGACTGATGGGATGATACCCCCAAATAAAAACAAAATAAAGAGGTAAGAAAGAAAATTGCATTGGAAGAAGAAGAGGGAATGAATGAGACATATTATCCCACATAAAAGATTCGTGAAAAAGCTATTATAATGGAGGGGAAGATGAGGGGGTGTGGTCACGGGCCAACCTTAAACCTTACTTTCATCAAAATTGGCTCAAAGCGGAAATTACATACACATGCAATTGGATATAGGAATCTATCTTATCTATGAGGAAGTAAAAAGGGATGGAGATAATAGAAGAGGAAAGGAGGTCTAATAAAATGGAGGGGATATTGAGGAGGTAGTGATCAGAAGATACTTGTGGGGAAGGAAATACACAGTTATCATAAATACAAATGTGAATGGGATGAACTCACCCATAAAATAGAAATGGATAGCAGAATGGATTGAAAACCAGAATCCTACAATATGTTGTTTATAAGAAGCACATTTTAAGCAGAGAGATACACACAGAGTAAAGTTAAGGGGCTGGAGCAGAATCTATTATGCTCCAACTGAAGCAAACTATGCCATGTAGCTGCCAGTAGTGCAATAGTGCTAACATTTTCACTAGTAGTGGCTGCTTCAGGAGACAGTGGCTTCCCTCCTCCTTGATGTCTTCAGACAAAGACTAGAGGACCATTTGTCAGTTATGTTTTTGTTTTTTGTTTTGTCTTGTTTTGTTTTTTACTTATGTTCTAATGAGAGTTTTTTATATTCTCTTGGGGTCCAGGTTGGCTTGGATGTTAGCTAAATTTCTTCCCAACCCTGAAATTTTATATTTCTGAATGACTTAGACCAGTGTGACCTTGAACAATGAGGGGTATTGACTAGATGTATGGTCTAGAAGATTACTTCCAACTCTCAGTCTATGATCCTACATGAGCTTTTTCCCGCGGATTTTCATTATTATTATCATTGTTATTATTTAGAGTGCAAGCTGAGCCTTCTTTCTTGGAGGTTCT